TTCCTTTATGTCTTTAAGCTAAGACCTTAACCAATTTGCAAAACCACCTACAACCTGGACTAGATGGATGCTTACTTGATATATGCCTATAGCCAAGCTTTAGCTGTAGCTTGGATAAAGCTTCTTAGTCCTTGAACTAAATTCCATGGAAATTGTGGTTTAGAATCGAGCTTCTTACTTCTTGGACTAAATTCCAAAGCTGTACTAGCTAGACTGATATGAGGATTTCTATATTTCCAACACTGATTATCCTGGAGCTACTCAGAAACTTGCTATGCTGAATCTAGACTCCTAATACCACAATCCTGACAAGGTTATAAGTGGAAGTATTTCCACAGAAATTGATTTCAAGACTCCAGATTCTTACTTCCTGATTATAGTCTCAAAGCATCACCAAGATTTATGCCAGTGAAATTTATTGACTATGAGGTCAGGGACAAGGGAGCAAGGGATGACACTAAAACAAACATTAGCCTAATTTATTGAAAGCATGATTATGCAATGCACTAACAAACGTTACCTCTTTCCATTGAAACTGACCCCATTTAAAGTTGATGAAGACATCCAAAGAAGGGTCATCTGCATGCAGCACCATAGGAGTCATAAGTCTCAGACCCTTATCATGTCTGAGGATGGATCTTTATATCTCAGCTAATGTATCTTTTTCTTCTTCCTATCACATCTCCGGTTGTTAGCCTAGTCAGATTCCAATTTCCATTACTTATGCTCCTTTACAGATGCTCTTTGTCTTCACCTATGCACAAAATTATCTTCCATCCACGCCCAATCAGGTGCAGTGTTGGATAGCGAAATTGCCTGCACAAGAGAGCTAATTTGGCCAGCCTGAATACTCAAGCTTCAGCTTAGGTTGTTGGGAAATGGTTTTATTCGATCCTTTGATCATGCAGTAGCTGATATTGCAGATATGGTTAAAGGAATGAAAAACCGAGCATGAAAAAGTTTGAAGTAGTGAGCTGTAATTTCATTCTCCTCACATAAAGTGATATTTCCAAGCTGTTAAGTACATCTTAGAACACAAAAACTCTTTGTTCACAGCATATTACTGGTGTTAAGCCCAACTATCATATTAAACCATGCATGAGAAGACGTCACAGTGAAGCTGTATGGTAAACATGCTGAGTAAGCATGTGCTAGGTGAGACATTTGGACAGTACACGTCATTAGTCCTATAAGTGTTATGTGCAAGTACTAAAATGCGCAAGCAACCGATCAACTAAAATGCATTATTTGACACAAGCAATTTCCCAGTAATCCTTCCTGAGCTCTACTACCCTGCTGTCAACATGGCCAGCCCTTCGATTCTCCCTGCTGATGTTCTGTTGTCAAGGCGTGTCCAAGAAATGGTCATCAACGGTGAAGGACCAGAATCACTGTACATCTGTAGAGATGAAAAAGAAGCTCAAGATGTCCCATCCCCATTAGCTCCAATTCCCATTATTGACCTGAGTTTGTTCTCATCATCAACGTTAAGCACCAAAAGAGAAGAAGAATTGCAGAAGCTAAAATCAGCACTCTGCTCCTGGGGCTGCTTTCAGGTTTGAACTTTAAAACTCACCAAAGAAATGAAAACCAAAGTTCTGACATAAACCAATGCTGCCAGTAGTCTCTATAATCCTGATTTAAAACGAATATTGGGAATAGTGTCATATGAACACCGTGAGACATCAAGAAAGTAATAATCCCCATCCTCAAAACTTATCAGAATCATAAAATAATGAAATTGAGAACTGCTAACCTGAAGTATCTAATTCTGGTCTAACTTCTAATGTTAGAGATGCTGTCACTGATTCTGCAAATGAATATGTGAAGATTAGGCAACCTTACTACTTCCTTATCAATCTACAGAAATGGAAGTATAAAACTTACTTGCCTTTCCTTCTTCCCCATTAAAGCAGTCCACAAGAAACTTCCAAATAAATATAAAAGAGATGGATGTACTGTTTCACCCACTCCTGTGCAATAATTTTTTGGTTCAACATGCTTATGTGCTCCATGTAGCATTCAAAACCTGTCCATTCTTCCGAGAAAGCTTTTTTCTGGATTTTCAGGCTATCGGTCATGGGATACCAAGTTCATTTCTAGACGAAATTCGCCAAGTCACTACAGAATATTTCGAACAACCAGTGGAAGAGAAGAAGAAGTATAGCAAAGGAGTTGAAGATGTGGAAGGATATGGAGGAGACCCTACTCCTGAAGAAGGTCAGTTCCTTGACTGGCAAGACCGCTTGTTTCTTACTGCATACCCAGAAGATTTAAGGGACACCAAATTTTGGCCAGAAAGCCCCAAATCCTTCAGGTAGTTTGATTTGCCCCTTATATCCATCAGTTGTTTCTACAACATATCTATCTGGTATTAAAGTTATTGCAAATTATCCAAGACATTGAAGCAATCTTCAAGCAAACTGATACTGCTATAGCTATCTCTACCTTACCTTATCAACAAAACATTAAGGGGTGCACCATATTTTCTACAAAGCACATATGTGATTTCTATTAATTTAGTGTATTAGCTACCTAAAAGTTTAAAAACAATATTAATAATTTCATAATTGAAAAGAATATACTCGAGACATAAGTACAACAATTTTATGGCATTAACCATTTATAGCGGCAAGAAGTAATCATCCATCTGCAGCATGTGCATCTATTTATCATCTCAACCGGGGTTGGCTAACCATCTGAACACTGAAGCTGTACAAAACATGAGCTCTTCCATAGTTTCAATCAGGTCCTCTGTTAAACTGATCCTTTATGTAAAGTTTCATTTTTTATCTCCTTTAGCTTTACAATCTGTTTAACAGTGACATCAATAGTTTCAATCAGGTCCTCTATTAGACTGATCCTTTGTGTAAAGTTTCATTTTTTTTCTCCTTCAGCTTTACAATCTGTTTAACATTGACATCCACAACATACTTCAAGTGCTGAAGACGTCTCACTGACAATTTTTCAGGAAAGTTTTAGACTATTACACTACTAAGATGAGAACGGTGACTGAGCTTGTTTCCAAATCCATGGCAAAGTCATTGCAATTGGAGGAGAATTGCTTCCTTAATCAATTTGGTGAACGAGCAGCACTGCAAGTGAGGTTCAATTACTACCCATGTTGTCAAAAGCCCGAAATTGTTCTTGGCTTAAAACCACATGCAGATGGCACAGGGTACACCATTATCTTGCAAGATGATGTCGAAGGCCTTCAAGTCCTCAAAGAAGAGCACTGGCTTATAGTCCCTACAATACCTAATGCACTCCTAGTCCTCATGGGTGATCAAATGGAGGTTTGCACCGTTACTCTATATAATCTAAAGTTCACTGTTCACATACACTAGCATAGGCAACAAAAAAGCACGTCCTGAAGGATTTCATTAGCAGGCTGTTACAGGAACAGCCAGGTAAGGAGGTTGAAGCATCTCATTTGACACTCACACGACAAAACTGTAGTATCACTTATGAAAAATCCTACATTACAACATTCCCTCACCATTTTGCACATTAATTTCTTAGGATGGCACCAGTTCGTCACTGCCCTTTAATAAGGTTATTTCAGTAGGAGTTTAGGTGCTTACCAAAAGCCATATGCATGCATATGCTGTATGTCTAAATGCAGAGAACATAATCACATATGTTCAAAATACTTCCTCTGCTAAGTTACAAGCAGAGTTCTGTCATAAGAAAGGGAATCATGTTTCATATTGTTCAAACTACATATTTAACTATTTGTGTTCCATAACCTGTATAAGTAATGTAGATAGTTATGTTTTGTGATCATATGCTGCATGATTCTAGCAGATAATGACAAATAGGATGTTCAAGAGTCCAGTGCATAGGGTAGTAACCAACAAAGAGAAGGAGAGAACATCTATTGCAGTTTTCTACACACCAGAAAAACACAAAGAGATTGGACCAGAAGAAGGTCTGGTGAATGAGGAAAGACCAAGACTATTCAAGAAGGTAAAAGATTATGACATTACACATTGGGAATACTACCAAAGAGGAATGAGAGCTCTTCATACAGCAGAAATTTGAACGTGTGCTATGGACTCTTATGCTTTGGCTGAGGTACTTAGTTTGCTTAATTAGTGTTACTTAAAGTATCGGTTTGTAGAAAGAGCTCACATATTTCCCACCTTATATAAAAATAAAGAACCTTCATTTATTCCATAGAGCATTTTGAACTTCTACTGGCATCTAAACTGCAATACCATCTTTCATTCTTGTATTTCTCCCTGGAATAGAAAATGGCTTCAGCATTTTCCATTTTGGCTATTGGCTACTGGCTGCTGTCCTACTAGCTCAAGAAAATATTATATCTAAGCTACTATCTCTCAGAAGAACAAACATTAGCAGGGTGTATGCCACACCAATAATTTTAGACAGCTTTTCAAGTCAATTCCACGAAACCTAGATATTCTACTGCTGAAAAGTCATATCTCCAATTTTGACACTTTCTTTAGTATTTTGCTCAACCTTGCTTGCTTCATGCTAGTTCTTCAGGTATGCAAGGCATTTTATTATATTAGAGTCCTAAAAGAAGAAGGTTAGCCAACTTGTCCTAAGACTCAGAACACATATATTGCATGATTTCGACATGAAGATAAAGCTCCTAAACATACCAAGAATTCAGTCTTCATTGATTTTTTAATTTTTGTGGTCACCTGAAATAAATTACCTCAATGGAAGGAAGAATCTATTATAAGAAGAATGTAGGTTTTTTTCCCTTTTTATGGAAGAATATCGTCTATATATATATATATAGAAGAGGGAGAGAAGAGCAAATCATTTTTGACACCCATGGTTGAAGACTATGAATCTGCTAAAAATTTTAAAGATTGATTTAAGAAGTTATAAACAGATTATCTGATTCTTGACGCTTGATTTAAACTGTAAATACTTTGACAGCTCTGGCTGGTTGAAGACAATGAAAAAGCAAGGAAAGAAACCTCTAAGAGCTGAGTTTCAGACCTTTTTCCTGGTCGACTGTTTGATATCAATCATAAAATTCAGTGCAGGGAACACATAGGATGAAATTGTCTCTCTCTTATAGAGATCAAGTTTTGGAAACAGACTAAGTAAATTTTGCATGCTTATCTGATCCCTGCTAAATGCTGCAGAATTTTTAAAATAATTTGAAATATCTTGCTCAAGCCTTATGTATCTCATATAGGTAATGAAAGCTCAAATTACATTCCAGTTGGCATTATGCCCATAAGCCTAGAATTGCTTTTCCTGGATGCCCAAAAGGTTAAAATTATGAGGAAGAATAAGCAACCACTAACCCAACTAAGAGTATCCTATGATTCCAAGCTAACACCTTCATCATTAGGCCACAGTATCTCAATGCCAATCAAGGACTCAATAGCTAGAGCTCACTCTTTTAACTTGGTCATAGCATGACTTATATTCTAAATAGACAGTTACTCCTCTTCAATAAACACAAATGTCATCACAAGTACCATGAATTTACCAATGAAACTAGCCAATCATAAATCCTCTTGCATAGCTTGACCAAAATTATAGCATGTGATTAAAGCAACAACTAGAGGCATGCACTTGTAGTTAGCCACAACTCGTAGAATAGGTCATAGATAGCTAATCTAACAATCACTTAATGCATAGGGCGGCTCTTTAATTTTACAACTAGGTCCAAAAACACCACCATCATAAACTTCTTGCACCATCCAATCATCTTCAAAACCATTAATCTTAAAGAGAAAAGATAAATAAAAAGCAGTAACTCCAAGTAAATCCAAAAAAAAATAGGGGGAACAAATCATTGCTTCTTTACTGAATTAGCAGATCCATTCACCTCAATCAGTCACTATATCCATGTTTAAGCGGCAAGAATTAGTTAATTCCATTTACGACTAAAAGAAACTTACAGAACTAAAATATTAACTAATAACAATAAATTTTCATATCATAGAAATCAGAACAAGTCAGTTTAAGATCCATCTAGTCTTACATTGTCCAAAGGAGGTTCCATTTTATCCTTTATGAGAAGCCCCAATACTTTCATAATTAGGCTAAAAAATCTCAATGCCCATCAAAGACTAACACCAAGATCTCACTTGTTTAGGTAGGCCATAGCATGCTCATGTTCCAAAAGAATAGGCAGTTTCTTTCACTCAATAAACACTAATCTCGTTAGTACAACCATGAATTTCCCAATGCAACTTACCAATCCCAAACCATTCTCTTGTGACAAACAGTTTAACAAGTGACAACTAGGGAAAGAACAAAATAATATACTATCTTTGACCCCTTTTTGAAATCGACTAGTAGTCAGCCAAAACTCATATCACAAATAGATAATCTAACTAACAGGGTCACTTAAAACATAGGACAGCTCTGCTGTTCTACAATTAGGATCAAAAGCAACAGCACCACAAATTTATGCTCCAGCCACTGACCTCTAAAACCTTCTAAGTGAAAAATAAACAATTCAGAAACTAGAAATGAGTCTCAAAGCAACTGAAGAAAAACAAGCGCCTAGTTGTTTGCTGAGTTAGCAAACTTCTTCACATAAAGTAAAAATCAGTCATTTCATCCAGGTTTAAGCAGCAATAACTAAGCTAATTCCATTTACAACAAAAAAAGAATACAAAGCTAAAATCTTGACAAATAGCAATCAATTCTCATACCATAAGAAACAGAACAACTCTGTTTTTTACTATTTTTTAGGATCCATCTTGTCCAACATTATCCAAAGAAGGGTCAATTAGACCTCCATTGCCAAGCAACTTCTGAGCGAACCTTCTCTCTCTCTCCTTCTCCTCCTTATCCTCAAACAACTGCTTCCTATAAACCTGATGTAGCCTTCCAAACAACTCCTTCTTAATCGATTCGAAAGTCATATCCAACCTCTCCAACTGCTCCAAAGCATTCTGGTTATACATAAACAACCCATAATACAAATCAAAGCTATCCCCTTTAGTATTCTCCACCAAATTCAACAATGTCTCATACCCTTTGGTATTAATAGGCGAAGACTCTAACCCAAACTGCTCCAGCACTCTACCCATCGTATGAGTCACGAACTGAGACCCCGCCGCGTACTTATCATGCTCCATGCAACTCATCTTCACCATTCTACACCCTTCTTTTTCAAAAATGTCTAAGAACTTCTCGCATCTCTTTACCCTACTCTCTTCATCTCCAATCCTCACTTTATCATAAACAAAAGGAAGTCCCGCCCACGTATTTTTACCACTTTCAGGCCCGAACATGGGATGCGTACATAAAATATCGAAGTCTGGAGGTAAGTACTTCAAAAAAAGGTTTCTGGGAAACTCTTTAACTGAAAGTACGTCGACAAAAAGTGTGTTTCGACGTAGTCTTTGAAAGGGTAGCTGTTGCAGTAAGGTTTCAGTTGAAAGAATGGAAGTAGAGAGGAGGACGACGTCAGGGTGTTGCTCGAAGAGGTCGTTTGGGTCGGAGAAGAAAGAGACGCCCAGTTGGTTAGCGAGGTTGGTGTAGTTTGTTCTTGAGTGAGCGAGGAGAGTGTGGTGGTGGCGGATGAAGGTTTTGGAGAGGAACTGGCCGAAGTTGCCAAAGCCTATTATGGCTATCTTGAGGGAAGTGGATTGGATGTAACGGTTTTTGAGGTGGGATTCGTAGTCAAAAGGTTGAGCTGCGTCAATGGAGTAAATTTGGAGAGAAGGGAAGTGGGGGGCTTTGGAAGGCTTTGGGAGGATAGGGAGAGGCAGAGAGAGGGAAACGAAGCGGGAGAAGGAGAGGAAAGGGAGGGGTTGGGGGGGATTGAGCGGTCTTGTGGCAGAGAATAGCAGCATTCTCAAAATTCGAAACTTGAAACAGAATTGTGGGAGACAATGAAGAGATTCAAAGATGGTATTTCAGTTCGCTTCTCCTAATTGGGGAATTGAATACTTCAATGGAGACTTGATCTTTCCTTCTCTCTGTGGACCTGGTTTAGAGTCAGAGGTGGTGGGCTGGGGCTCGACCACTTTGTCCTTTTATTCTGCAAATTGGTCCAATTGGCTTTAAGTTCCCCAATCAACAATCTGGAACAATGAAATCCTGTGGAAAATGTTTTCCATTCTCTACCATGAATGAGATTTTGGTATGGAGTTTGGACTCCAGGATTGAGGCTTGGCGTAATTCAGGTTGGGTAATCAGTCCCTTGGGGTCTTGGGTTTTTGGGTTCTTGGTATGCCAACAAACAGAAGCATTTGCTCTTAAAAATGTACTTCCAACCAACCCAGCTGCCCCCATGTGTGTGCTTCAATGAACAGACAACAACGTAGGGCAACCTTTATTAGCTTGTCACCTAAAAATGCTCCAAATTTTCTGACAGTTGGCTTCTTGAATTGTAGCCGCATAGCTTTCTTTATGATTGATGCCCTTTTCATCAATCTTTCGTTAATCAAAAAATGATAAAACTGTCCTAACTCCTAAGTCTCCTACCTTACATTTTACAATGACATGAACAAGATAAGGTGGGGGCGATTACACCCCGTCAATAAGAAAGCACCTGGCTTGGCTTGGGACTAGGTAGATCGAGGGCAATTTTCTTTCCTGTTAACGTGGTATTGCAGCATGTGGGCTAGAATCCCCGAGCCTGCAAAATGTGGGTGAACCATGAGGGCTAAGCCCTAAGTTCACGTTTGGGGAGTAGTACATTAACAATGGTTGTTAGACACTAATCAGTAATCTGTCCTATTAAACAGGCTTGAATAGAGTTCGAGTCTTGGACTGATTATGTTTCACAGGTTCATATCTAGGGTTCAGCTATGAGTGATGGAGTACTAGTTTATTTAAACATGGTTTTTAAATTTATTTGCTTAGTATTTTTTATTTTTCCTAATTTTAAGATTACATGGTTATTAAGATTTATATAGTCCTTCATGTTAGATATTCCAATGGTATTTTAGTCTCCAATCATCATTTTTTATTTTTAGTTTTATGGCAAGAGGGAATAAACCCAATATCGAGTTGGAGTTAAGATTTGAATTATTATTATATATCATGGATCTAACATCAATAAAAAATAAGATAAATTTTAAATTTATAAATAAAGGTCTTCCTCTACATGTTTTTTAAGTTGAAAATATAAACTTGTAACACTTACAAGATCAACCCCTCATAACATCAATCATTATGTCAAAGCTTACGAACACTCAAAAAAAATTTTAAACTATTTAAGAAAATTCAAATGAATATTTATTTTTCTATTGCTGTTGATCAAACCTTTTTATTATTATTTTAATTCAAATAAACTTTTATTATTAATAATTGATTAATTGTTATTAATCAAAATATTTTTTATCATTTGATATCTATATAATATTGACATGGTACTAATTTGAATATTGAAATATGTGATATAACTATATTATTATGTCGCATCATTGTCAATTATAACATGTCAACATATCACATCAATGTTATATTAACATCATGTAATATAGAATTATAAATAATATTTTAATTAAGTCAACTATTAGTCATAATAGTTTATTTAATTTAAAATAAAAGCATAAAAGTTTATTTTGTTCAAAATAAAATTGGACACAATAAAAATATGAGATCTTATTTGAATTTTTCTAAATAATTTAAGGATTTTCTTAAATATTATACCTTAATGAAAAATCACCAAAATTAATAGAAATTTGAATATTGTTGTTGGTAGAAGTAAGTCTAAAATCAATAATTATTGCTTCTACAATATATTACTTTATAATTTGATACAAATTGCTATTACTTATTAAGGCAAGGTATCAAATTTTCATCATAGTAAAAGTGTGCACAGCAAATATTTCATGTTAACTATCAATTTGGTAGGTTGGGGCATCACATTTTCATGATTTTAGGTTATATAAGGCATCACATTGTTTCAAGTTTTTCTAAATAACGTTGAGATAAGAAAGTTTAAAAGAAATTATATTAATGATATGTAAGAGGAAATTAAATTTATTAAAATTTTCATTTTATTTGAATTTTAAAGATTTTTATAACAATATTCAAATTTTGTAGTGTTTTGAATATTGTTTATTAACGATTAATCTGCTTTTAACTGTATAATTGTTTCTTATTTGAACATAATTTTAATTTAATTTTATAATATATATTTAATGATTTTCTTTAAACTTTTGTATCATTAATGAAAAAAAATTCAAACCAATCTCCAGTTAATCAAGTGATTTGTATTGATATAATTGTTTCTTATTTAAACATAATTTTAATTTAATTTTATAATATATATTTAATGATTTTCTTTAAACTTTTGTATCATTAATGAAAAAAAATTCAAACCAATCTCCAGTTAATCAAGTGATTTGTATTGAATTAAAAAATAATTATATTTAAATATATTAAAAGTAATAATTTATATTTGATACATTTTTAATAAATTAATTTTATATACAGTACTTTTACATCGATAAATAAGATGGGAATTCAAGATTTTGAATGAAAAGTGATATTATAAAAATAATAATACTATATATATTTATATATATAAAGTTTTATACCTATAATAATTAAGAAATTAACGCCACCCTTTTGTTATACAACAAATTATCCAAACTCCAAAATGCACCTTTAGTGAAAGAGATTTAAGATAACAAAATTTCAAAATTAAGCTGTTCTGAAGCAGATCAGGAAAAACAAGACATGCCATGCTATGCAACCTTCACTCCTCACCGATAACAATGACCATATTTTCTTCAGCCATCGTACTAATCCATCTTTGGTTAATCATCATTATCAGCCCATCAAAAATAGTACTGACTACAACTATGCAAACTAAGTTGGAAAAAAACCCCCAAAACTGAATGTGGAGTGATACAGGAACTTAAATAATAGGTGAATGGAGAAACACCCCTATAGAGAAAGTTGCGGTAACAAGCCTTTCCCCTCTGCCTGGTGTGTTTCCTTACCATGTGTTTCCTTACCATTCCCCTCTAAAAGATCTTGAAGAGTAGGCCACCGTGTGTAGCGAAAAAGGGAGCAAACACAAGTGACTCGACTGCCATAAGCTTAATAAGGATGTTAAGTGAAGGGCCAGAGGTGTCCTTGAGTGGATCTCCAACAGTGTCACCAATCACAGCTGCCTTGTGAGGATCAGATCCTTTTGGACCAAGGGTCCTCGCATGCTCTGAGGCGCCAGCCTGAATATGAAACCATATAGAATTACTCAATGATATAAAGGGCTCGATGAATGTACAAAAGCCATCCTCAATTTTTCACTAAGTATTTACCTCAATGTACTTCTTGGCATTGTCCCATGCACCACCAGTGTTGGAAGCCGAAATTGCAATCTGTCAAAAAACAAAATCCAGTGAGAAACTATAATAGATGATTTTTAATTCACCCCAAGATCCATCAAGCTATCATGAATAGTTTATAAATATTTTAAATAAATTGTTACAGTTTGCATAATTACCATTCACAAATAATCCAAAAAAGAAAAAAGACTTGCCAAAACAAATCTCCTATTCCAACTTTACCTGAACACCAGAAACAAGAGCACCAGCAAGGACACCAGAAAGAGTCTCAACACCAAAGAAAGTTCCAACAATAAGGGGAGTAAGCATAACAAGGGCACCAGGAGGGATCATCTCCTTGATGGAGGCATCAGTGGAGATTTTGACACAGGTAGCATAATCAGGCTTGGCAAGACCCTCCATGAGACCAGGAATGGTGTTGAACTGCCTGCGAACCTCCTCAACCATCTTCAAAGCTGCACTTCCCACACTCTTCATGGTCATGGCAGAGAACCAGTATGGAAGCATGGCACCAACTATTAAACCAATGAAAACTTTTGGGGTCAGGACATCAACATTAGAGATAGCTGCACGGCTCACAAAGGCACCAAACAGCGCCAATGACACCAATGCCGCTGACCCAATGGCAAATCCCTGGAATCATATAAGAATTGTACATCAAATATGCATGACCAGTAAGTTGTGGCTTCAACTATGCATTATTTATGCTATACTATGATTTCAGCAACTAGTTTGAAGTTAAAATCACTCTCCTAAGAACAATTTCAAGGAAATGAATCGAATGCAGTACCTTTCCAATGGCTGCAGTGGTGTTTCCAGCAGCATCAAGAGCATCAGTTCTCTCACGAATGCGATGGCTCATGCCAGCCATCTCAGCAATGCCTCCAGCATTGTCACTGATGGGACCATAAGCATCAATAGCCAACCCAGTTGCAATGGTGCTCAACATTCCAAGTGCAGCGACTGCAATCCCATACATGGCAGCAAAGCTAAAACTAACAAAAATGCTGATTGCAATTGCAAAAATTGGGATGATAACAGATTTGTATCCTAAAGCAAGGCCAAATATAACATTGGTGGCTGCTCCTGTCCTGCAAGAGTCAGCAACATCCTGCACTGGGCTGCAATACAAGAAATGATTAATCAAGATGGAAAATTTGAAGTGACACTGCCATAGATAATCAGTCAAACCACTGTTTCGCATACCTGTAAGCATTACTTGTGTAGTACTCAGTAACAAAACCGATAATAAGTCCAGCCCAGAGACCAACACCCACACACAAAAATAGTTGCCTGCAAATCAAAATCAATTTAGTAGTTGCAGGTATCCTGACTACTGAGTATAAGGAAAGCAACAACATGAGATAGAAGATGATAGACAAGACATGCTGCATGCCAGCTTCTGCTTCAGATCTTATGAAGTTCATAATAATATTCATGGTAATAGAATACAATTATATCTACTAAATTTTGTCAAGTTATGCTGATCTCAAAAACTAATTAGTCAATGCCCAACTAAGTGGCAACTCAACAAAGATATAAGGTATCAGAATTCAGAGAGTAAAAGGTCTTAATCGTTCCTATCTCATAAAAGTAGAAGCTTAGCTGTGTTATAGCATGCATCTAACTAGGAATTCACAGCTACTTTTATAACATGCTTGCTATATATAAGAATCATGTAATCTTACCAGTTCTTGACATCTTTCTGAGCCCCAAAATTGTAAATGGTGAAGGAAGATGGCACACCAATCATAGTAACAATTGCAATTCCCACAGTCATAAGAACAGTGGAGATAATAAGCTGCTTCTTCAAAGCTGGTTCAATTTCCTTGACAGCCTTGATTTCAAAGAAATCAGTAGCAAATAGGGTTGTGATCAAACAGACGAGAATACCCACAGAACTAATGAGAAGAGGATACAACATGGCAGTGAACTCATGGTTTACTCCAAAGGAGGATATAGAAGCAACAACAAGAGCA